CTGATTTAATTATGTTTGTGTCAGGTGGGGAAGAATAAACTGCCTTGCCTATCAGGTTTTTGTAAAAGGATATAAGCTCCATAACAATTTCATCACCATCAGTAATCCTCTTCCCTTCATTATTGTAGAGAACCACGACTCTATTATTATGCATGTTTGCTTTAGCATTGCATGAAAATAACTGGTACATCTATCTCCATGCACACTCCAATATATTCTAGCTTTTTGTTTATAGAAAGATAGTTCATAGCCTAGAAGGTTGTTGTAGATAGAGAAGCACTCTTTCTCATGGCTAATAAATGCAGGATTTAGAGGATTATTGAAGAGTTCTCTGTGCATCTACTAAAGCAATTTTAGCTCTTTGTACTTCCTCACTGATATTATTAAAATGCTTCTTGTTAAGATCCTTCAATTCACCCCTCAACTGTTTAAGTTTTGTATAGACTGAAAACATTGTGAAACCTTAGATTTTTTATTTCCAAATTTTTAATACTGTGGGGAGAAACCTGTCATGTTTGGTCCACATTTTAAAGAATTTGAAAGGTTTTTTTCCATTGTATCTGATCATCATACACAAATACTATTGCTGGTGAATGGTCTGAGAAGCTTGGAATCAAAAACATCACATGGGTGGAGTTGAACATATATCCATGCATCATTTACCAGTGCTCTATCAAGTCTATTCTAGACCCTGGTGCTTGCATCTTGCTTTTTATTCTAGGTGAAAAAACACCTTTGTGTTTTCAAGTGATTTAGAGAACAATCTGTAATGCAATTTCTAAAATATGTAGTGTCTGCCTCTGAGAATTGTACCTCCCAATTTCTCTTCATTGCTTATCATAGCATTAAAATCCTCACATAGGAGCCATGGTCTATTTCCAATATTTTGAAAAATGCTTTTAAGATCAGACTACAACTCTTTTCTAGCTTCCATTTGGTTGAAACCATAGATGACAGAGATAACACAGTCCATCCTTCCATCTAAAGACTTAACTGAACAAGTAACATGCTAATCTGATTTATTAATAGCCTGAATATCAAAGATACAAGGATCCTACATGATAAGAATTCTGGTTTTCTTAGGAAATCTAACATTTAACGTCCATTCCCAGTTGCTAGCTATTTTCTTGGCAGCAATAGGTAGAGAATATTCCTTTATTTTAGTTTCCAGGAGAGCTAAAAAGGATAGATGATATTGCATTAAATGATTCCTTACTAAATGTTACTTGGAGGATTTATTCAATCCCCTTACATTCCAGAACGACAAATTCATTGAAATAAACCCCCTCTATCAATTATAGGGGGATCACATGTACTATTGCTCTCATATGAATCGCCTGAGTTAGTTTTCCTATTTTTACTCCCTTGAACATATACCCAGGAATCACCATGCATGAGTTGCTGAGCTTGCATCATGTGTACTGGGGTTATATTTTCGTTTTCTCTGTAATTACTAATGTTTTCCCCCACCTGCAATATTCCCTTGCCTTTTGGTAAAGAATGGAAACCTAAAAAGTTTTTATTTGTATCCAGAACAGATAAACCAGGCTGATGCACAAAATTTCCTTGTCTCAATCCCTCATTTCCTTCTGGTAATGCCCCCCCCCCTCCTGAACATGTACAACATGCACATGAAGAACAGAACTCTGAATCATGTCATTATGTGTTATAGCTTCATTCTTCATAGACTGGTCCTCATCCTCCTGAATGTGCACAACATGCACAGTAGAAGTATTAGCATTCTGAAATATGCCAGCTGCTCCTATATTAACAGGCTTCACAGATTTTTTAGGGATCCATCTCTGTATTCCAGCCTTCCTCCTGCAAAGTTTTGTTTCATGACCAACCATTATACATGTATCACACGATCTAGGTTTCAATTCATAATACACCTTTTGAAGAAAACTTCTTGCAATTTGGTCCCTGTATGTAAATTTCATCAGGAAGTGAAGAGGGCATGTTAACTTCAACAAGCACCCTTGCATATGCAAGCCTTTGTCTAGTAGCTGTTAGCTTATCAGTAGCTATAGGCTTACCTATAATACTGACAATTTTACTAATGCTCTTGGCATTCCACAAATTAAGCTTCAAACCTGGTAATTGAATCCACACAGGATACACACACTCATTCCTCTTTTCCAAATCTTCATCTATAGTCCAATGCTTCAAAAGAATAAGACTGGAAATACAAAAACCAAGGCCCATTTTCTAAAATGCTCCTCATATCATCCATATTTTTAAACTTGAACAGAAAAGACCAGGTTTGAGAATACACACTTCAGGAATTGCCAGACTCCCCTAAACTTTCAGAACATAAGATTTCATTGCCTTAAATTTTGCATTTAATCCCAACACTTGCCCAATAAGAGAAGATTTTCAAATAGTGCTTCCTTCATTCCATTCATGCTCATCAAATGTTAATCTACTAGATCAGGTTTTACATAATTTAAACTAAATCCACTACCAGACTTCATGTTATCAGCGATAAAACTCACCCAACTTTTCTTCGTGTTGATAACAGGATCTGGAAGAATCACATCTTTTGAAGAAACAAGAGGAGGAAAATCAAGCTTATTACTACCAAAAATTTCAGCATTTGAGTTATCATTAACTAAATTCTCAGTAGATTTTACCACATTTGAAAATTTTTCCATCGGAACCAATGGAACAGTACCGGATTCCAGAATCGTACCAGCATTCGGTATAATTGAAGAAACAGAATCAAGATTCTTATTAGAAAAATCAGAAAGATTCTTTGATGATAGATTTGTTGATTCATTCTTCAATTCAAGATCGTCCGCCCAAGAAATTCTTGATGAACTACAATCACCAATTTCAGAGTTCAGAGACTTACAGAGGTGGCGTGAACGAACTCTGAATAACTTAGGAGATCTCTGAGATTGAGGAGAATCCACCAAGAATTTGTTAGATCTCAATATTTCCATCATCGACATCTTCATCTTCTCTCCTTTGGGTCCAGTAGAACCCATAAGATCCAAGATAACTCCATCATCTTCAGCATTAGAGTGATCTTCAGGAGGAATCGAGCTCAAATTGGAACCTTTTACTCCAATTTCCAGAAATTTCTTTCCATTTTCCCCTTTTTTCTCACCATTTTTGACAAGGCGGGGGCGCAAGTTAGCATGAAAAAAACCACCTGCTAACGTGCTCCAAGAAGAGACCGTCAAATTAAGTTTTCCTTGTAACAACGCAAAGCTTGATTGGTTTGGATGTTCAGAAACATAGCTTTGTTACACAGGGATAGGTATCCTTCGACTTACAGCTAGCCATAGGTAGAGATGATAATTACTCGATAACTGTTTATATATATATAGTAATATATATTATATATATATATATATTATATATATATATATATATTATATATAATAATATATATATATATATATTATATATATATATATATATAATATATATATATATATATATATAGAGAGAGAGAGAAGAGAGAGAGAGAGAGAGAATAATGGAGGTGAGCTGGCAGCTTACCTACCCCCGTGAGCTGCAAGTGTATGACATGTGAGCCCCGCTACTAGTCACATCGGTGTGGGGCTCACATGTCATACACTTGCAGCTCAAGGGGGTAGGTGAGCTGCCAGCTCACCTCCATTATTCTTTATATATATATATATAATTATATATATATATATATATATATATAATATATATATATATATATATAATATATATATATATCACTGATAATTAATTATAATTGAGAAAAAGAAAATAATGAATATGAAGCGATGTCTCATTTTACTAAATGAGTTATTAATTCAGACATGAGATGAGACTCCCCCTACATTCTCTTAGTGTTGGTCTCGCTACTTCTATCTTTTGATTAATAGGTCATTTTGTAAAATGACCTACCATCTCATAGCAATTAAACTTTTGACAAAATTGCCTATTCAAGTTCATCTACATGGATGTATATGCACATACTTGCACACATAAAATTAATTCATTATTTTTAGTTAGCAATTTATTGATTTATTATTATTTTTTAATTGAGGTCATCATCTCTACTGGAGGCTAGAACTTCTTACAATCCAATTAATCTCAATCCTTTGCGAGCTAAGTCAAAGATTTGGTTATAGTTTATTTATCACGATCTTCAATTTTCAAAGGTATGTGGTTTAATCTATTGTTGCTGACATCCTAAGCTGAAGATTAATGTAAAATTTGAATAAATTACCCTTTCCTTCATCAAATTTTAAGTACTGTGAGTAAATTAAGGAGTTGATCAACTACCTGCATAGACAATTAATTAATACGCATCAAGAATTGACAACCATGATACACGTACTTGTCTATTCTCGTAGGGCAGTGCGCTTCATTCTTTCTTCTATTATTACTTCAATTTTCTTTTTCAAACACAGGATATGATTTTATAACAAAACTTACATATTTAATTACTCCAGTTACACCTCTTTAAATGATAACTAGCTAATATGTGCTCAAGAACAATGAAACAAATGTACCATTCATTTGTCTCTAGTAGGAGATTTATCATATAAATGAAAAGTGGGATTAATTAAGCAGCTCATGTGTGACATACTGTTAATTTTATATTGGAAATAAATTATAATGATCTACGCATTTATAATTAATTAGGGTAAACTATAGAAAAATGGTCTGATTATTTATATTTATTAATCAGTAATATTTACTATCCTTCAACTCATTTTTAGTATTTAATTATTAACGTCTAAGAGGGATAAATTGCACATAATTAACAGATATCAATGCATTTATTTATTGAGTAGCACTTATATGTTTTCGGACTTTGAGAAGCATTAGTAACTCACTTCTTCATGGATAGAGGACGACGAGTGCTAACAAGTTTGTTAAGATATTATACGTTATTATTAGTATATACATAGTATAAACAAGAACGTTAAAAATAATTATGATTAAAATTGTTTTTTTCCGCGGCTAGACGAAAATGGCCAGACTACATGCATCGATAGAGAACTCACATCATTAGCAGGATGAACACGAGAACAACCAGAACCAGCATCAAACTGCGCCGGGGCGACGATCGAACACTTTTCTTCCTCCAAACAGGATAAGACCCAATAACTATAAACCCCCCAATCATGCAGATCCCCGCCATTCCAAACCCATACACGCCCTCGAACGCTGCCGACTAAAATCAACAGAAAAATATTCGATAAAGAAGATGTCGAGATCTATGTCTAGATTGCATATATCAATCAAAAGACAAATAATTAAATTATAAGTATAATTAATATATATATATATACCGCCCAATAATGCTTGTTTCTGACGTCGTAACCTCCCTCATACAGCTTGAATCCCCTCAAAGGGTCTGGTCTATGGAAATGGCTCGTGTTAATTACATGACCTCTTGCAAGGATCGGGGAAGAGAGAGAAACAAAGAGGAGGAGAGAGAAGAGAAGAAGATGAGAAGAGTGAGAGATTAATGCCATTTATTGATGATCATATAAAAGTGAAAGCCGATCACTAGGCCTTAGGTTGGACTATATCAGCGTGCAAAGAGAGAGGAGAGAGTGCATGTGTTAAAGGGTGAGAGAGAGAGAGAGAGTATATTGAGGCGATGTTCTCTTAACTTCCATATTAAGGTAAGGATAGCTTGTGGCTAGCCTTGAAACTTCACCTTTGTATATATTCTCTTCATGGGATTATTAAGTTAATTAATCAGGCTGTTGGTTGACTGGGACCCCACTGAAACGTGGTGTGAGGAAGTGTTTACAGACTTTTCTTAATTTGAAACTAGCAAAAATTGATCCATAGCTCACGACGGCATTCGTTTTTAAAAAAAAGGAAAAATAATAGTGTAAGCATTTTATTTAAATATATACTATATTTAACAACTTAGAATAAGAATATAGCCTTTTTTTTTAATTGGTTCCTCCACAAATGGAGAAAACCAAGTCAACCAACTAAGCAATATCGAAAACCAACCAAGAAGAAAACTCATCTGGCAAATCCTCGAACCATAATTGTTCTAACTCCAAATTTTGCCCAAGTGAAGTTAGCTTATGCGCGACCCTATTGCCTTCACTAGGGACATAAGAAAATTCTGATTGCCTAATGCAGCCATGACTCATTTTCATCCTTGGAGATTAATCTTAGAGGATGAAAATCATATATAATTCTTCTCACAAAGCATCTGAATCACCTCAAGGTAATCAGATACATCCATTAAGGCAAAAATACCAGTTCATTGGCGAATTGGAGCACTTGAAGGATAGCAAGGGTCTCAACAACATGGTCCGTCGACACTCTACCTACAAAGAGGATTGAAAAGGCTCCCACAACACCACCACTGTGGTCTTTAATCACACCCCCAACAAATTCCCTCAAAATGTAAAGCACACTGTGAATATATTCATGGAGAAACTGAATTGTTAGAAGCCCAAACAGGAGCACAGCAGAGAAAATCAACTTGCAACGAAGAACATGTCGTATCTCCAGGGCATCAAAATTGGATGGATAATATATAAAAATCGCTCATTTTTTCCGAGATGAAGTCGACCAAAGACACCATTGTTTGGTTTGTTGTAGTCTATTCTACAAAATTGCCTCCAAATTAAGAGATATCGAATTTTTAATCAATTTTTTACTATTTGGGTAATGTTTTAGGAGTTTGTTTTAATTAGGAAATAAATCTAGTTTGATTTTAAATTTGATTGATCTGTTTTTGCAATCATAGGAGTCTTTAGAGGATAGTTTTTTTATTTCTATTTTTATTAAAATTTGAGTGCTAGTAGCAGTCTAGTTTATTTTCTATTTAAAAAGAGGATTGTAGGCCCTAGAGGCATAATCAATAAAATTCTCTTTTATATTACTTCGTGGATATGAGGTCATCTCTATGTGGATTTGAAGATTGTTCTTTATGGATTCAATGGACACCCATTGGTGGATTTAAGGTTTTTAACTTTTGCGTTGCATTAATTGGTATAAGATCATATTTCTCAGATCCAATGGTAGGCGAAGCCCCTATTATTCGAACTGAGTTTGATGAGTTGAAGAATGATGTTAATCAGATTATGACTATTGTAGACCAACTTGTATCAACAATAGAGCATCTGAACATGGTAGAAGTTTGAGATCATGTTGATGGTCCCCAATAATATGATCCGACTCCACGAGAAGAATTTAACAATAACAGTGATGATTATGAAGCCCCACAGAGGATATGATCGACGTGATAATTATATATGATGCTGGAGGATTCAAGATAAAGATGAATTTGCCATCTTTCAACAGGCAACTCCTTATCGAGGAATTTCATGATTGGATTGTAGAGGTGGAGAGATTTTTTAAGTATATGGAGATCCTAGATGAATGAAATGTTAAGTTGGTAGCCCACCGACTTAATGATGGAGCATCTACTTGGTAGGAATCAGTATAAATAAATTGATCCCGTCAACGGAAAAGTCTATAAGTTGGAGAAGATGAAGAAGTTGTTGAAAGCTCATTTACTACCCAGTGACTATTGTAGGCAGTAAAAATTGCCTATAGATTGCAAAGAATCTCAAAACTAACAAAAAAGCTAATATCTCTCAAACCGAAGGGAATTTAGCAAAACAGATAGCGGCAAACCAAACTTTGGTGGGTTTGTTCAGCCCCGTCTTAGAAAAATACGCGATTTTTATACATAATTCATCCAATTCTGACTTACGATTTGAAAGTTACGACCCGTTCTTCACAGCATATTCTGAAGTTCGTCTGAACTGATCGAACCTCGTCTGAACTATTGGACCAAGTCAATTGTGGGCGTCAAAAAATTCTTGTAAGTTCCCGAATACAACTCAAGACGAAGAGGATACAATTAACGTAATCATATGAGTCAAAGAAGATCATTCGATGCCAAAAGGAAGCAAAGGAACACGCTAAAAGATGGAACGAAGAAGCAACAAAATGCGCAGATCGACAAAACACCGAACGAGACACACATCAGTGTCTCACCTGCGAGACACAATAATGTGTCTTATCGGCGAGTCACAACATATGTCTCACACTCATGTACGAGACACAACATGTGTCTCGCACTCACATGCGAGACACAAAGTGTGTCTCGCACAACTAGGGCTCCACGACACTTTTTTTTTTGATAGATTTTCTCAGGATTCGTGCATCCCACTGGCTTCCTAACCACTTTGGGAACATCTCTAAACATGGGAAAGCTGTTTCTAACTGAAGATATGATCAAATCAAGAGATCTTATCCACAAATACGACGTTCAAACCCTATAAATACCCCCCTTTCGTGCATTTGTGATGGGTAATCAGGAGATCTGACCTTTTGGAGAATTACTGATGAATTCTAGAGCAGAGAGCCACGAATTTCAGAGAGAGAGAGGGGAGATCTTGGTGAATTATTTAGCATAAAGAGGAAGATTTTGAGAGATCCACAGGTCTTCGCCCCTTCCCTTAAGATCAAACCGTTGTTTTGATCTTGAGAAGAGTAGTGATCTCACCTTATTAAGGTTATTTACTTCTATTCTAAGTTTTCTCGTTGAAACAAAGAACACTGAGCCTTCTTCACGATCAATCAGATCTGTGAATCGGTGATCCATAGGCTAACGCGTCCCCGACACAGGCAAAGATCTCACACAAGCAGCGACCAATAAACGTTCTCTATATGTGTTTCTAAGAGATCTCTTTTTTGTTTTTATTGTAACGAGAAATCTTATAAAAAGATTAACTCTTTTGAATCTATGTAAACGATAAACATTATGATGGGTTCAACAATGAAACTGATTTCCGACGCAAACAACTATGAACAAGTTTAGTTCAAATAATTCCACAATTGCAAACAAGATGGAAGAACAATTGACGAGTACATGCTAGAGTTTTAGTGACTACCATCCCCCCATAATTTGCACAAAAATGAAGCTCAATAGATGTATTGTTGTTTCAAGAGATTGAGAATGTCAATTTAGGTTGTGTTTCTTTGCAACAGACATATACTTCTGTAAATATAGTGAGCCTACTTGAAAAGATGGAGTGACAACTTGGACGGAATAATTGAGGATCATGGATAACTTTAGAGGGTTCACGCAAAAATTATAATCGTGGCAACAACAAATAGTCCCATCCACTCCTGATCAAGATTTTGTAGCTGAGAAAAATACAAGATCAGCGACAACAGCGACAAAGAAGACTACACCAGCAAAACTTTATGCTATACCAGGTCTAATCAAGGTCATAGATTCAGTCAACCGGGTTGTCAAACTAATCAACACTCTAAAAAATATTATGAATATGGTGGACTATGGCAAAGAGAATGCAAACTACGATGATGTTGAAGGCTATGGTGATCAGGATGTTGAGTATTCTCATGAGGTTGACTAACTTTTATTTATTGTGTGTAATGACCATGAATTTTGATACTAGTTAAAATAATTTTTTGGTATTTTAAAATATTTAATTATTATTTTTAAAATAGTATTTGTATTTTTCTTAATTTTCTACAATTTTCTATGATTTAAAATCCAAGTTTTATATTTATTTAAATAATTTTAATATTTATAAATTAATTTTGTGTAGTAAAAATTTTTAAAATTAATATGTTGTGTTATCGATACTATTACGTATCATTTTAAATAATATGTTGTATTATTGTTACTATTACCAATTGTTTCGTGTATTATGTTGTATTATTAATTATATATTATTTGTATAATTTATTGTATTATTTCTACAATTACGTATCAATTGTCGTATTAGCACAACTAGTACATTTTATTGTGTAGATAATTATTCTATAATTATTTGATTTTAAATATAAGTAATTATATTTTTTATTAATTATTCTTGTTTAATTGTATAATTTCTTGTATTATTTCTACTGTTGTGTATTATCGATTATATTACTACAACTGGTACGTTTTGATGTGTACATAATTTTTATGTAATTATTTAATTTTTTGTGATTATTATTTTTTAATTAATTTTTAAAAACCTTAATTCTCTCTCTCTCTCTCTCTCTCTCTCTATATATATATATATATATATATATATATATATATATATATATATATATATATATATATATATATATATATATATAATATTGTTATCCTCTCTCCTTCTTCCTTCCCTAAACGCAAACACCCGTCGCTAGATCTCATTACTCTTCCGCCGACGATCCCCAACCCCGCTCCCTTGTCGTTGTCGGCCTCACGACGTGACCGCCCCAACCCCCTTCGCGGCCTCCTCCTCCGGGCTAGCCTCTCACCCTCGCGAGCCGCTCCTCCCCCTATTCTTTCCTTCTCATCACCTCAATTTCCACCCAGGCCGCCACCTGCCAGCCACCGAGCCATCGTCTCCACCCCTTCAGCCTCTACGCCGCTGCCTCTCATTATTGCCATCAACCCCCATCTTGCTCATACGTCGTGCACCTAACCACCGTCCCAAATCACTGCTTCCAAACCGACCAGATCCACCATTGAGCATCCCTCACCACCGACGCCTCAGCACCGGATCACCAGATCTCGTGCGTCGATCTCGCTTCTCCTCACTCCATT